ATTGATTGATTGATTGATTGATTGATTGATTGAAATGAATTCATTTAACTTATGACTATGTTGCATCAACATTGTCTAAAGGGACTTTATAAGATAAACACGTCCAATTTTATGTACAGAAATTATTCCGAGAACGGCTAAGCCTGAAATAAATCCTTTCTGACCAGTGTTGGGAACCAAATCATGATAGATGGATCCAGAAGTCAAACTTTTACTTTGAAACATTCCTAACGAATCTGTGGGAAAATGGCTGACGGACATAATGCAGGAAATTAGGACTGAACTCTCCATTAACCTCACATTCATTTCAAGCAGATGGCAGCATTATGGACTGTTTGGAAGAGCTTGTCACTCTGAATGTTTCTTTATTACAAACATGGATTTTTTTTAAGGCTTGAAAGAATAACTTAACATCCCATGAATTTCACTGGATTAAATAAATGTATCTTGATTTTTTTTTTTTTTTACCAACAAGCTTTTTAAGATTTTTTTGAAGAGGAATCTGGGAATCAGGCACTAAAAGAAATAAATAACTAAAAATAAAGTTAATAGATATAAAGTTCATAACTTTCTCAGGCTGAAGGACACTATGGAGATGTTCTCGATCCATTAATAAGATATTTGGTTGATATATGCTGCTGTATTTCATTTTTACAGTCAGTCATTTTTACTGTACTTACAGTATCGCCATTTCAACACATGCTCTAAAGCATGTGATTTTCCACTTCAAAACATTGTGTGTTTTGGAGTTCACTTCTTTCTACGTAATATTTTCCATCACTAATAAGACATGTGTATTCTCATCATGCATGTTATGTTAATATTGAGATTTAAAGTACTTATTTAAATCTTTTTTTTCTAGGGTGAGCTAATATTGCAAGAAAAACATTTAAAAAAACAACTGGGATCAAACAAGATTTTTAGTTTATTGTGGATGTTTTCTAACCCACACAAGTCAGAATTATAGTCATATTCAATAAATTAGAAAACATATCCAGATGAGTCTCATCTGGACATAACAGATGAAAATAACAACCTCTAAACAGGTATTAAACATGTCTGATTTCGAAATATATTTTTTATTGGTCTGATGTAATATTGTATAAGTGTCAGGCTTATACAAGACTTTTTGTTTTTATTACCTGTAAGTGGAAAATCATCATAATTGACAGAAATAAAGGTTTTCAAACATTCATCTGTGTAAATGTAAAATTCCGGTTCTCACTGCATGTCAAACCAACCATTGTTCTTCTGCATGCTCCTTTAAATAGGATGCATTTGCAACAGTAATGTCTTGGATGCAATTTCTTTTCATAATCATCAACTGTCTATGCATATCTAATTGACTCTTGAACCCTCAATTCACTGGTGGCAACTGATCTCTGATTACTGATCTCAATACGTCAGCGGATGTGGAGGAACCGTTTGATAAAGTAGCAAATATGCTAGCGTTTGGCGCCATCTCGTGTAAGTTACTCGCAACTGCAGCACAATACTAAAATGTGAATTTGAAGCGGGTGGTTTGTCTCATCCAAAGGTCAATGAACGGTTCGTTTTATATATTGGTGACAATTTTTAAGATCAGTAAAATCAGATATATTTTGCAGCCCTTGCTCTTCTTTTAGATATTAGTATAGAAGAAATAATACCACTACTATAACTAATAAAAACTAATAAAACTAAGCGATATTTAACTAATGAGAACTAGTAAGAATGAGCAAATACACTCTAAAAACTAACTAAAACTACCTGAATTAGACAAACAAAAAGTCCCAACTAGATAAAACTAGACTGAAAAACCCAAAACTAAGTAGGGAGGCCTAGACTTTCCTCATCTAGCCTCAACTCCCTTTAAAATCTAAAATATCAGAGATCCACGTTTAGTCTACTCTGGGTGGTTTTCTCCTCTGTCTTTAAAACTTTAAAACTCATCCACAGCGAAACCTTTTCTACCGGCTTATTCTCTTCTTCAGAGATGTTGTTCTGCTCAGCCAGGACAATAACTTCTTGGGTTTCTGATCCCTGAGGGGAGACAGTTTTTATTTCATCCACATCTCCAGAAAGCTGTACATTGGTTACTGTTTGAGGCTTAGAGACAGTTTCCATTGGTGACTTCTTACTTGAAGATGTTTTAGATTGCAACTCTTCCTCTTCCTGCTTAGATTTCTTTGGTTGTAGAGTCCATTTCTGCTTAACTAAACTTCTGTGTTTTTTCCTTTTGATCACTCAGCATTTCAGAGGAAGCTGCAAGTTGTGTCTCCTTTCGCTCAAAAACTGTCTGAGGTTACTCTGTTTTTATTTCTAAAACAGTTTGTGGTGCCAGAGTATTGGCTTCTCTGCCAGCCTTTTGAGTTTCAGAAGTGTCCATCTTGGTTTGGTTTATGAGAGCTTCCAGTTCAGTGGTAGCTTTCATTGCTGCCGTTCTCCTTTTCTCATATTCAGATTTCCTAGACAGCTCTTTCTCCTCTTACTGATCCTCATTTTGTTGTGTTTTCCAGAAAACAAGATCAGAGACCTTCTCGTCTTCAGTGGTCTGGTGTAGTTCAGAGATCACAGTTTCATCTGTATAAATATCCTTTTTGAAGGTGGCTGTCTGATTCTCAGCCATTTCTGTCATGAAAACTTGTTGTTGTTCAATGTTGTCTCCAGAAACCTCTTGATTATTGAAGGTTTCCAGCTCAGAAACAGCTTTCATCATCTCTTTTTCCTCTTTTGGTTCAGATTTCTTAGAGGGCTCTTTCTCCACTTGCTGATCTTCATTTTGTTGTGTTTCAGAGTCCATTTCTTCCTCCGTCACCTGCTGTGGTTTAGAGGTCACCATCTCATTTTTCAAGTTGACTTTCTGATCCTTGACTATTTCCAGGATTGAATCTTGTTGTGCAGACTTTTCTCCAGAAATGTTTTGATTATGGAGTGCTTCCAGCTCCATAATCACTTTCGCTTAGATTTCTTAGAAGGCTTTTTCTCCACCTGCTGACCCACATTTTGTTGCATCTCGGTCTGTGTTGAAATAGTTTGATGAACTGGTTCTGACTGACTTCTGATGTCCTGAGCACCCGTCTCAGTCTGTGTTGAAACATATTGGTAATGGACTGTTTTCAACTTTGATGTTTCTGGTAAATCTGTCTGCGTTTCAACAGAGACCATTTTCTTTTCGTGAAGATGGAGCTGTACCAAACAATACTCATAATTCTTCTCCACCAATGTTCTCTTCTCAATTTCCTTGGCGAGAGATTGCCTTCATTCTCCATAATTCCTAAAGAAGATGTGTATGCTGGTGAAGGTCGATAATCGGTCCAGGTTAGTAAGTTTGATTCCTGTAACCTGCAGCTTCTGGTGTTTGACGGTGAGAGACATCAGGTACAATCTCTTCCTGGCCACTGGTTTGTTTGTCACTGACCTCCATGAGGTGCTTTAACTATGCATGGAGTTTACACAGTCAATGATAACTTGGGTTACTATTTGGTATTGGTTCTTTTTTTTTTTTACAGCCAGTACAACCAATCCCTAGGTAAGCCCTTACCTAGCCATTGAGAAAGATGGCTAGGTAATGTATGAGAAACGATATTGAGAAACATTTAAACATATGTCTCAATATTGTTTCTCTGGAGGTATGGACAGTGTTTAAGCTTTAAACTTTACCCAATGGCTAACGTTTGTCAATGATGTACATAATGCGCCAGTTGGAGACTATGAAGTTTACCGGAAATTGCTTGTGCTGTCAACAACCTTCCCCCACTTCAAAGAGAGAAGTGCAGAGCTGAACCAGCAATGGCAACGTGGCCAACCCGGACTGACTGGCTTCACACTTCCTCTGATGCCATTGCTAAAACTTCAGGCACACAGATGCCATCGTTCACAACTTCTCTGTCGGTTTGCTGATTGGCCCAGTTGAAATTCTGCTAGAGAAATCCACTTCAATGGGGAAAAGCCCAGACGGAGCACAGAAGAGAGATTATAGAAGGAATTGTGTTGGTAGACAATGGACAGGCAGACTGCCTTCATGCCCCATTGCTGGAGAATAAAATTATTTATTTGCCCTTTGGGATCAACAAAGTATTTTTAAATCTAAATTCAAGCCAAAGGAGTCAAATATCGAGAGCTGATATTGCACTGTACTATATTTTTCAGTTTTTGTTTTGAACAAATCTGTAACATACTACTTCTGTTTGCTTTTCATTAGCATAATCATAGGCATAATCATCAAACTAGAACTAAACACTAGAAATATATCACCGTGTGATTTGAGTCAGTGTAATATTAGCTACAGTTTCTTTTTAACTACTGAAATAAATGAATCATTTATTTATTACAACGTTCACTGGTGCAATATAAGCAGCTTTATTTAGCACTTTAAAACAATTCCCTGAATCGCATCGGCGTTGATATTTCTGACAGAACGTGAAGGTAACACAAGTCACGTGATTCTAGACCAGGTCACGTGACTAAGGGACCTGGCGAAACTGTCGGTTGAGAAGTTCATGTTGCCAACGGTGGCCTGACCTGTAAAGCTCAGGATGCTCCGTGTTTTATGGCTGTTCGCCGCCCTGGACGCGGTGCTGCTGCTGGACACAGGCATGCTGTTTCCGCGGGAGTCCTCCTCCAGAGAGCTGAAGGAGCTGAACGGGCTTTGGGCTTTCAGGGCTGACAGATCCCCTAACAGGAACCAGGGCTTCGAAAGCGCTTGGTACAAAAGTCGACTGGCAGAGGTGAGTGGGCTTGCAGAAGCGAAGCAAGTCAAACTGACCGTAATAAGGTGCAAGTATAAGTGTAATGTACTGAAATACTTCGCATACCTCGCATAAACTAACTCTACCAATCACGGCTTTTATTACGAATAGTGGTCAATGTTGCGCAAGTTTTGCATCCACGGCCATACAATTTATGTAATGCAAAACTGGTCCAAGTCCAGAACCCTTTAGAACACAAGAACTACCAAAGGTGTCATGCACATGAAGAAACTGGAATCTGTCAAATAAATGACAAAAAAAGGAATAATTTTTTAAAAAGCCTTTATTCTCAATGATATTCTTGAAGGTGGGACACTCAATCAAGTCAATATTGAAAATTTATTTGTGGATAAATGTTGCATTTAAAGCAACACTATTCATACATCCCACAAGCTTGGAAATTAAAGGAGACACGGACATAAATGAGTGAAAAACCGCAGTAACTCGATGACCACTGCAGAGTTTAACCATGCAACAGTTCAGTTAACCCTGCTACCTTCGGGTCTTCACGCCACTTCACACATGAGCCTGACGTTTGGGGTCAGGCTTCCTGAACGTAAAGGTCGGTGGCTATAAGTTGTATCGAAAAGTGGTTGCAAAAGACGAAACAAATGAAGGAAAAGATAAATGAAGGTCTGCCCTGATCAGACAGGCTCCCAGACCTCCTGGCCAAGCTCTGACAAACATTTCTGACCAGTTCATCACTACCCCTTTACCCTCTCACCTTTCAGTCAATGGGATGGAGCGCCAAAAGGTACCACTTGTTACAAATGCTAAAACTTTTCAGTTTTTGAGGACTGCCTCTTGGTTTCCACTTTGGAAGTTTAAAGGTGCACAAAAGAGTAAGTATTGTACTTTTTAAAGTTGAAACTTTGATGGTTCCCGTGTGAGAAATGTGGTCATTCATGGAGTAAAAATAGGTTTTTGGGAAATACGGGAAGCTGTTCTGTTATGTTTATAGGATTGTTGCAGTTATGCACAGTGTTGAGGGCTATTCCGATCAATGACATGCTTAATCGGATCATTTAAAAGGGACACAAATGGTAGGATCATGGCTCACAATCCTAAAAAAAAAAACAGGTGTTGTCAGATTGTGGTTTTCTTGACTTATCGTTTCTTCCACAAAGTCCAGTGAACCGCAGATTCCAAGCAGTTTGACTCGCCCAATTCACTAGAGGTGAAATTATTTAACAATAAATAATTGAAATCCAAAATGATTTGAATCTATTTTTGGTTGGTGCAAATGTACTTTTTAGAAATCCACTAAAAGCAACATGTATGTTGTTCCAGACCGGCCCTGTGATCGACATGCCGGTTCCTGCCAGCTACAACGACATCACTCAAGACCCCACACTGAGGGATTTCATTGGCTGGGTGTGGTACGAGCGCGAGGTGACGGTGCCCACCCGCTGGATCACCGATGACGGCCTGCGAGTGGTCCTCAGAGTGGGGAGCGCTCACTATTACTCTGTAGTGGTGAGTCTTTCTCAGCAACAGAGATCCAGGGACTTTGAAAACCAGGGACGGAAGTTTTTAGATCAGTGCTTAACTAGCTTCTTTATATCCACCAGTGGGTGAATGGTGTGAAGGTGACTGAACACGAGGGCGGGCATCTGCCGTTTGAGGCAGAAATAGGCACCTTACTCCGTAAAGACCCAACCATGCCCTGCAGGATCACCATCGCTGTGAACAACACTCTGGATCTGCACACACTCCCTCCAGGCACCATCCAGTACATGACTGACCGTACGAGGTAAACTCCTCTGTTAACCTCTCGTCTCTGCAGTAATCTTTCACATTCAAACCCTTGGTTTACGCCAAACTTCTGCTTCTCTTATGAGTCACCTTGAATGGTTTTGCTAATAAGACTCTTTGATTCGCAGGTATCCTGCTGGGTTCTTTGTTCAGAACACCAATTTTGATTTCTTCAACTATGCCGGGATACACCGTCCAGTCCTGCTGTATACCACTCCTAAAGCCTACGTGGATGACATCACCGTTGTTACAGATTTCTTGGACGACACAGGTAAGCCACGGGTCAAGAGTCTCAGGATTCACTCACACAAGCCTTTTTTTTTTTAGTCCACTTTTATCAAAGTCTAGTTCGTTTGCCTAGAAAGTCTGGTTTATTTGGGGAGATATGAATGCGCAAAGTCTGTCCTCCTTTAAAATTTAGATCTTGGTTTGGTTGAAGTGAACTCTGGTGCAATTTGAATGCATATTTGAATACCATACCAGACCAGTGGCCACTCCAAAAGCAGGAAGTGAACTACAGCGCAGGGTTTTCTGGATAAATGCAACCAAAGCAATCATAAAAATGGTCTTTTACCAAAGACTAAAAGACCAGGATTTTTACGCTGCAAAAACACAAAATATAACCAACTATTTATGGTCTAGTTTCTAGTGCAAGTATCTTAATACACTTGAAATAAAGCAAAACTGACTTGCATGTAACTTTTCAGCAAGATATTGAAGCTTAAGTAAATAAATCCTTAACATTAATTAAAAAAAAAAAAGTACTAGTTGCACTGGTAAAGTGTTTGACTTATAACGAGACATTTTTCCCATGTTAGAAGTAATAAAATAAAAAGTCTGTTAGCAGAACTATTTCTTTTTTTATCAATATCAAGCAGTTANTGACTTAAAACAAGCTCCTGTATCTTGGTAAACACATGTAAGCTAGTTTTGTCTTCAAGTTCAAGATATTTGCTCTAGAAATTATAACAAAAATACTTAAGATTTTGTTTTTGCAGTGTGCAACCACTAAAATCTTGCTACTTCATGTTTTTTTTTTTTTCACTTTCTCAAGAAGGAAGTTGCGCTCTGTGTCATTTTCACAGATTTTCATGCAGTTTCCTTGGTGGTTCTTGGTGCAGCGCCACCACCGGTGAGGGCAGAGCTGTTTTTTCACAGCTGAGGTTCTTTTGACGCAGTCAGTGCAGCGTGAAAACAAACTGCAGGAGCTGAAAATTTAACAAATATTTCAATTTTGGTCCCCAGTCGAACCAAGTCTACTTCCCGTGTGACGATGTGGATATATTATAAACATCAAATGACAAGGAGCTGTAATAAAAGCAACAAGCTTATGATGTTTGCGGCGTTTCCTCTGACTCCAGGGTTGGTCCGGTACAGTGTGTCAGTCAAAGGAACGACCTCCGCTACGATGAAGGTGACTTTAATTGACAAAGGAGGCCACTGCATTGTTTCCTCCAATCAAGCTTCTGGAGTGCTCAAAGTGCCAAACGTCAACCTGTGGTGGCCGTACTTGATGCACGAGAACCCGGGTTATCTTTACTTGTTGGAGGTGAGTCATCCTTTGATCTACATTATTTACTTTCAGATGTGGATCACATGAAGGATGCCACCCAGGAAGTGAAAGCAAATTAGTAAAGCATCCGTTTTAAAAAAAAAAAACAGTTGTTGCAATGAAGGGCATTTGAGTTTAATGCATTTTCCACAGTGTTTCCTTCTGAAATGATTAAGGGCCTACATGCTGTAAGGTTATTTTAAAGCCAGTTTTGGTCCACATGTTTACATTAACATCAAAATGTAAGTCAAGGAAGTGCTGTGGTCCACTCTGCTCCTTTTTCTAAATTAAAATGAAAGATTTTCATAAAACAAAATCTACAGATTAAAATTTTTAACATTGCTTTATATGATGATGGCAACAATCTCTGGATCACATTCCTGTCCAGGTTCGCCTGAAGGCTTCTGATGCGAGCTCAACGTCTGAGGATGTTTACACGCTACCGGTTGGCATCCGCACAGTTAACGTCAGCAGCACCCAGTTCTTCATCAACAACAAGCCGTTCTACTTCCATGGGGTCAATAAGCATGAAGATGCCGACGTAAGTACCAGAGAGAAGCTGAATACAGACCGAGGACTCATTCTTAGTTGGTGTTGGAGAACATTAATGATCTTGATGCGACACCCCTGTCCAAACTGAACATCTCATAGACCCGTAGTACTCGACCTGTTTCCTCTGCGGTCACTGTCTTTCATGTCGTCGCTGTTTCTCTGCTGCAGCACATCTGATTTTAATGATTGCATTAACGCCTAAGCATGCCATCAGGATCTATTCATCCGTTTGTTCAACTGGGTGAGGTGGACACGAGGCACCGGGGATGAGAACCGTTGTCTTAGAGCTCTGTTCAGAAAGTTGTGGTTGTAACATTACAGGACATCAAACGTTCACCTTGCTACATTCTCATGGTCGGGGAATGTCGGATCAAGTCGTTTTGAGCCGGCCCTGCCTTGTGTTGTAGATCCGAGGGAAAGGTTTGGACTGGCCCCTAATCGTCAAGGACTTTAACCTGATGAAGTGGTTGGGGGCCAACTCGTTCCGCACCAGCCACTACCCCTACGCCGAGGAGATTCTGCAGATGTGTGACCGCCATGGCATTGTGGTGATCGATGAGAGCCCAGGGGTCGGCATTAAAGACATGTAAGACCTGACCGGATGTTGTTTCATCCAGTCTAAAGCCGGCTAGTTGGTTTTTAGCTGCTTGTTTATCGAGTGGGACTTATGTCTTCAAATGGAGGGTTCACCTTTCTAATGATGTAAGCAGGTGTTTATTTTGTGTTTAAAGTAGGTCTTGGCAATAAATCAATATCGATATACAGACGTGATCTATAATGTCTGATAGAATTTAATAATTTCACTGAACTCTGATCCAGAACCACACGGCATTATGGGGGATGTAGGCAGAGGAAAGACTTTAGCCGCTCAACCTCTCACGCCTAGCTAAGCTAGGTTGGTGGCGTCAACCAACTCATTCACTCTTTGGTTGCTTAAAAACAAAACAACAATGGCAGGAAGAGAAAACTGTGGAAAAGAGAAAAGGTTTCATCACCAGTTTGGTAGCATTTCAGATTTTTAAAACAAAAAACAAATCGATTATTGATTTTGACTGATATGAAACGGTTATATTGTCATGTTTTTCAGCCCCAGTCTAAAGGTCACATTCCACCCTGCTGACGTGAAAGTAGTGGCACAGGAAAATGAAAGGTTCTAGTGTTTAGTTTTGGTTTTTCAAACAAAAAATTATGTTTACATTTTAAGATGGCACTATACAGTAGCAGGAAGTGCAGTTAGTATTAAAACTATAGACTGTCGCCTCCACTCTCCTAAGTTGGGTAGAGGCCTAAATGAACAGCTGATGTAATTCTGTAGAAAATACTTACTGTTGTTCACAGATTTTGTGCTTCTCATTTTAATTTCAACTGCCTTAGCTAGCTAAAATTACTAACTTTGTAGAAATGTCTGGTTTAGATGTCTGTTGCTTTAAAATGATCATGATGGATTTCTTCCATTGTTTAATTGATTAATTTGCACACTTTAGCAAAGGTTTAGAAAAATGAGCTTCTTTTATGGAAACACCATAAATGCAAGGTTTTTTTTTTGTTTGTTTTGGTTTTTTTCTCCTGACCTTAGTGGACTTTTGATGGTTTTGCAGACATTTGTAATGGAAGCGCTGCCACTGTGATCCCTCAAATTTTGCTCCTATGCTTTCCCACCACAGTCGCAGTTTTGGAAACGCCTCCCTGACCCACCACCTCGCTGTTATGGATGAGCTGGTGCGGCGGGACAAGAACCATCCCTCCGTGGTCATGTGGTCTGTAGCCAATGAGCCCGCTGCAGAGATGCCCCCTGCTGAGAACTACTTCAAGTAAGTTATTGTGGTGTTATGGTTTTTGTTTCATTCTAAACTTTCGCTTCAGTTTATTCACTCGACTTTTTTTTTTTACGAGTTTCAAATTATTTCAGAAATTAATTTATTCTCTTATAGCACTTACTCTACACAAGTGAAAATGAACAGTAATTACAAAATATGTGTTCAGGGTCGTATACATTCAATTAACAGTGTAAGTTGCAAATAATAAATCATTAAAAATGGACTGAAAGAGGGCAAAATGTATTCCAAAGGGCAGATGGGGAAGTGAGGGCAACAGTGGGTCTTTGGTTTGTAGAGAATATTTACCATTCCCAGAAATAAAAATGTAAATATTGCTTCATCTGTTTTTTTTGTTTTTTTTTAATGAGTCGTTTCCTTTTTGGTTGCACTACTTCATGGCTCCTTGTGGAGGCGCTAAGTGCATCAATTAAAGAAACTTGACTGGAAGGTGTAAACCAGAAAAGGAGTTGATGGGGGATATTGATTGAAACATTTACTGATGCCACGTTTTCTAACACTGTGGTTTGTTAACTTCTTGATGAACACAGAGAGAAGTCCCTGAGTTTGTCAAGAAGTATGAAATGCATGAAAAACGAAGCAGACTTTGGGATGCATTAGTTTAGCCTCGACGAGTGGAGAACTGTCGGTTTGGCCTTGAGCTGCAATGTAGGGAATCCTGTCAGGCTGGTTACGAAGCCGCTGCCAACAACTGGAGCTCAGGGTTCGCCTGAGACCACAGAGACCCACCCATCCAATCACTGCAGCCATCAGAGGAACTGTGATGTCGGAAGAACAAAATAGTCTCATGCTTCTACTGGCACAGGCATGCGTGGTTACTGTAAAGTTTAAAGCTGACTTTAGCAGATTTTTATTTTTTTTTCCCCCTCTGTGTGATGATGTAATCATCCATCTGCGATGTGGACCAATCCTGTGACGACTCGCTTGCAAAATGGCTCACTGCAGTTTGTTTTTTTTTCCCCCTGCAGGACGCTGATAAAGCACACCAAAGCTCTGGACCCTACCCGACCTGTGACCTACATCACAGACAGTAACTTCTCACGGGACAAAGGAGTGAGTCTGTCTTCATCTCACTACTGGCAGTAGAAAAAAAAAAAGGTTTATACCGTCTGTTTATGTGAAGTCTGGCAACTTTCAATGCAAAAGGACAAAATCTTACCAAGTATTTTTGGTCTAGTTTCTTTTGCAAATATCTGAGAACACTTGAAATAAGACAAAACTAACTTAAAAGTAACTTTTCAGCAACATATAGGAGCTTGTTTTAAGTCACCAGTTCCCTAAAGCTTCAAGGTGTTTTTTCCATATTTATTGAAACTGCCACAATGTCTTGACAGGATGGTAGAGACAGAATATCTGTGAAAAATTGAGCTCCTCCCAGAGCTACTATTTCAGTCTGAAAACTTGCACCGCTCCCGGTTTAAAACGACCAACCAGAGGAACGGTTTGGCGCTGTCAATCAACCTCCTGTACGCTGCGCAAAGTGCTAATGATGAAAATCCAACTCACCATTACAGGAAGAGGTTTTCTGCCATAATCTGTGGCTATGCTAACTAGCATTAGCATCATTCTTGATAGGCTACACTGTAGCTTAGCGAAGGGGTTGGGCACGAGAGTGATTGACAGCACTAAGTCCCTCCTTCTTATAAAAGTTGTATACTGCAGCTATAAAGTTAATGGAAAAAGTCTTTCTTCTACTGGTAGATTATTTTACTTAGCCCATACTTAGAAATAAACTGCCAATGCTTTTTTTTTTTTATCAAATATTGATTTTTAAAAAACCTTGTATATCTGCTGAAAAGTTACTTGCAAATTAGTCCTGTTTTATTTAAAGTACAAATATGTTTCCACTAGAAATGAGACCAAAGTTAACCTACCATCTGTAAATATTTGGGATTTTTAACAGCCTTCAGTTCAATAAGGAACACAATTTTTGGTTATTATAAATTTATCAGTCACATGATGAACTAAAATGATCACAAAAGTCCTGACTGGCAGTTTTGCCTGTTGTCCCTATATGAGCTGATTTTTAAGGGCAATTTTGTTTAGTCTACATAATCAATTACATTTGTGTGTTTTTTTTTTTTTTTTTTTTTTTTTTATCTACATTTTAAATATCTTCCAGTTCCTGCACCAGGTGTTCTTTACACAATTAAAGTTGATCTTTGAGAGGACACACTTATTATGCCATTATCAGGTGAATAAGGTCTCAAAACGACGAGATTATCGTTTATCTCAATAATTTCTGGGACAATTTATCATCCAGCAAAGTTTATAATTGTGACATTAGATCAGTAACCCTTAGTGTCGTTATTCCATAACAATCAATGATTGTATTCTATGGAAGTACGTAGAAAAATACCTACTTTTAATTTAAGAATCCTGACTGTGTGTGAGGTTGTATTGTTTTTGTATTTATTAAACATTAATTTGCTCCGCCTCCAGGCTCCCTTTGTGGACGTCATCTGTGTGAACAGCTACTTCTCCTGGTACCACGACCCCGGCCACGTGGAGGTCATCCCTCTCCAGCTCAACACTCAGTTTGAGGACTGGTACGGGAAGTACAAGAAGCCCATCATCCAGAGCGAGTACGGAGCCGATGTCGTGCCAGGGCTTCATAACGTGAGCGTCTACACCCACAGGCCATTAATGGCTTCGTTTCTGGCCTTTTTATTGATGCATTTTAACACTTTTATAGAAGTTTTAGTCTCTTTGCTTTTTTTTTTTGTCTTGAACCTTATTAAAAATAATGTGGGATTGTTAAAGGCTTCAATGCTTGAAAACCAACACATTTAAACATATTTGGATCCTGAGGATTAGAAACGTTTTCCAGACTTTTTGTTTCAAAGTTTTTTATTTTAAATTGGGCACTAATTCATTTGATCTGAAAAACAAGTGTAAGCACATAATTAAAAGCCCAACCGTATTATGCCATTCCTACCCATTAAATATGTAATCTTTCGTATTTTTGTTTGAGAGGGTCTGCTAAGGATTTTACCTTTTTTTTCATCACCATAGCAACAAGCCATTTGATATTTGAGTCATATTTCCGCTCAGGACCCCCCGGTGATGTTTACTGAGGAGTATCAGAAAGTGGTCCTGCAGCAGTACCACGGCGTGTTCGACCAGAAGAGGAAGAAGTACGTCATCGGCGAGCTCATCTGGAACTTTGCTGACTTCATGACTACACAAGGTGAACCAGAGCTCTGATTTTTAATTAGAATTTAGCTAAATATAATTTCTTTTAAAACTTTTTCTGCTTGCCTGCCTGCCATGTGTGGCCATTATTTATATTAGGAGCAAAGGGAACATTGTGCAAGAGCACCTTCTGTAAAACAAGGTTTGTTTGTACTTCCTAGTCAATGTACTTTAGTTTGAAGAGTCTCCAACGGGTGCTAACATTTCTAAATCCATCTCGTTCTTAGATGGATGAGTGTTGACAGTTCAGAGTGTTTTTTTTTTTTTTTTTTTTCTGTCCAGCCTCTTCCTTTTATCTGTTTGACTGAAGTGCAGACGCATCTCGTTATGACTTAGACAACCGTTTAAATTTTTGGTTCTTCCTTGGATTTCACCAATACTGAAAGTAGCTAACTTTGAGTCTTCACTCAATGACATCCACACCGAAGAGTGTTGCTGTTAAAATAACATTGTAGTTGCAGGGTCATCTGAAGGGTTTTGTTCAGATGAGTTTAAGGTGCATCTCCAATTTTTTTTAATTTATCGTTTTAAAACTGAAAATTAAATTTCTTCAAATGAGGATCTGGGCTTGTAGCCTTGATACAGAGGCTATAGTTAAAGTTTGTATGCCTGCTTTTTTCTTCATACACGTGAATGCTAAGATTTTTATTAAAGTCTTCTCCAATATTTCTGTTGATCTTTGTGTTTGCAGGGATCACGCGTGTGGTGGGGAACAAGAAGGGGATCTTTACTCGGCAAAGGCAACCCAAAGCTGCCGCATTCATCCTCAAGGAGAGATACTGGAGACTGGCAAATGAAACTGGCACCCTGCCCCTCTGGACCAAGTACCCCTGCCCACTGTGAGTGACCAACGCAAGCGTTTAGCCCCGCAGGACAGCTGGAGCCATACGGAAAATCATGTCTAATCAAAATGACATCAAGGTCCTTCTTCTAGTTAAACCATCCTTTTTTGTGTTTTTCCACCAGTGTCTCTGTGATTGTATAAACTGCTGTATTTCTAAATATCTTTATTGAGTTTTCTTTAAAGAAAACAAAACAAGAACAGGAACAAAGAAATGCCAGATACAACAATAAGAAACGGTTTCAGTTCCCTTTATTAGCTGCTGGAATCTACCACTAAGGAGACTTGCAGGCAGGAATTATGAGGGAGGAAAATAAACGGCAACAGTAATCACAAAAACACAGGAAAGCCTTAAAATCTGCTTTAAATAAGGTTCCTGGATTTGATTAGAACATTTCCAGAGGAGAGTGGAACAGGCAAAGCTGCCTTCATGTTCAAGTCCAAAGACACTGAAGACACTGGACAGATCCTCCAACATGCTCAGCCTGTAGCGTTGTGTTTTCACACACATCCAGAAAAAAATGAATGTATGTGACTTGATGCAATCTTTTTATTACAACTAGGATCAATGGCACTGACTTTGAATCTGAGTGATTTGACTGAATGGATGTTTCTCTTTCCATAAAGTGCCTCGTGGTTATATTCTTTCCAATTTGGTGCTGTATTAAAAAAAACGTAATCGTCAGCTTCACGCTTGCAGTCAGTTTTGTAATATGCAAGCGACGCAGGATTTTTATATAGAGCAGAGTTGGCTCAATTACAGACGGAAGTAGCCGTGGCGTCGGTCCAGATTTACCCCAGTGAGTCATCAGTGCTGATATCATAAGATCTCTCAAATTCAAAGGCTTTCTACATTATTGGGTAAAAGTTGAGACTTTAAACAGAAATAAAGCATTTTCTGTATGTAATTGGGGCTGTGCGATTAATGATTTATTTTCTCTACCCCAGCACAATTGTTGCCAGAGTTGTTGAGCTGTCTGTCAAATATATCAGCTGGAGATAATTTTAGCTTTATAGGTGGGACCATTAAACTGTCTTCAGCATAAAGAAACAATAACTGACTCTCCAATACTGATGCAAAAGACTGACTTTGTAAACTTTGTTTTCTGAAGATTGAATAAACCAGAACAAAAGTTTGACAAAACTCTTTAGAAAATTAAGTTAAATCCATCAGAAGCTGCCGCTCTAAGAGCATTTAGGTGAGCATCTCATCTAATGAGCTTCTGAAAAGTGTGTGTTCACTAATATTACATTTTGTAGGTCATTTTAGCTAATGTAAACTAGAACAAAAACAAGATTATTTTTTTATTATATATAGGATGGAGGGGATCAAGAAATTAATCTGAAATGAAATGAACGATGAAATACCTGCCGTATTTGGTCTAGAGTTCTTCACGGTATTGTCACCTGACTCAAACCGTGTTTGCTTTGCAAATCTAAGAAAATGATGTAAATGTATTTGGAGAAGCACAAGTCACAGTTGCCTAAGCAAATCAAGGCTGAGTGTAGACATGTTGCTCTGAGTCATGCAGACTAAATTCAATGGGTCTGAATTGCTCCTATTAGTTATACTTCCATTTTTTTTAAGGATCAAAGAAAAATGTCTTCAGCTTTGTTGTTCTTCCTGTTCCATTTGTACTAAAACCTTTTTCAAATTGAGATTCAGTTGTGTTGTTTTTGTTAATTTTCTGAATCAACCATAGATCAGTTTCATGATCTGACTGTAGCTTTGCTTATTTTCCATCCATCTGTATTCAGGGAATAAACTATTAGATCATTTTCCATCAATATTTTTCTAATCAGTTTTATTGCTGGACAAATGAATGATTGGTTCCTCTTTGGACACAGTTTCTGTTGGAATATGCCAGTCTAACTTTATACTGACAATAATGTCATGTTACAGTGCAAGGGAAAATCTGATTGTTACGTTTGATTTCACTAAATTGAGAGGAAAGAAGTCATTTTATGTCTGAATCACTGCAATAAAGACGATATAATGGCACTACGTTTATCCCTCAGGTTCTGTCATTCGTTTTCTTCTACAGCTAACGTCTGGCTAAATGTTTGCATGATGCTTAAAGGGTTAACAAGAGTGACGCGACTATTGTTGGTGGCGTGATCACGGTTATTATCAGTGTATCTTCCCTCATCTGATCTCTGACCTTTGTGTTAAAAGTTCCACCAACGCCGGGCAAATATTATTCCTTTCTAACTTTGACAGCAGCCGTTTAAACTCACACATGTTCTTTATGGGTTTTGCTTTAGAAACTATTTCCAAATCATTCAGAGTAACTTTTTATTTTTTCCCCAAAGTCCACAGTAATGTTTCACACAGCTGAAGTTTTGCTACGTTGCATCAAGTAACAGGGGAAACATTTGTTTCTTTCACAAGCCCAATAACACCCTGAAGCAAATGTTTAAATGTTTCCAAAGCTGAATTAAAAATGGAAGAAATGAACATAATCTCAAGTTAGAAGACGGTCATGTCAACAACCTGGTTAAAATAGTATCATCAATCTTAAAGATATATATTTTTTGAAAATGACGATTTTTCCAAAGAAATGTCAAACTCAAGGCTCAACATCTCACAAGGCATGGCCAAGTTAAGCAGGTTTCTCTCCAAGTGTTATTTTTGTTAGTGGTGAAAGATGGATGTAACCTTTCTAAATAAGTGAATAAAAAATTAAGGTAGAATAATGCAGATCAACCAGCAACATGGTAAAAGTTTAAAACATTTTAAATGTTCCATATGTTCCTTCTTTGCCAAGTTTTTTTTTTTTTTGAATGCTAGAAAACATATTTGTTTTTCTTGCCTTCAGAATACAATAGTGTGACGCCTTCTCTACCTTCTACTACAAACTGCTGGTCAGATGGCTGAAATGTGATGTGGATACAACACATTTTACGCTCACGACAGTGGCATCCTCAAGGGGTGGGCCGGGGGTGGTCATGGCCCATTGTTGAAAAATGTTGACCAAAACATAAATGTACAAATCAATAAACTGATTTGTAAAATAAAACGTAAGTTAAAATTATATTTTCTGGGGGGTGCCACTGACACAAGAATTAGAAATTTTAGAGATTTTTCAAAATTTGTGGATTTGAAATGTCTCTTCAAAATGTAAAAAATATTTTCAAATGATCATGGTCAGGGAATTGGGTGGGTTTGCCCCCACCAAATATTAATGGCATATTTGGTAACCAGCTGCCTGTAGGTTGGGTTTCACAGCACATAGCCTGACTAGTTAGGCAGCTAATATTCTGCGCAAGAGGCACATTTACTTAAAGTGCGACATCTTTCTACATCAACTCTATTATTAAATGTTGTAGAATTACAAAAGTATAAAACCATATGTTGCCATTTGTAGGAATAATTGTTGCTCTCTCTGTTTTTAAAAGTTTAGTTTAGTACTGTGAAACTGTTTTGTGCTGAATGATATACTGATGAATTATGTTGCCAATACTGCTGTTTATTTAAATGATTAAAAATGACACTTTCAGAGGGAATGTTTTAATGGTAGATCATTTCAACACAACAGGTTCAAATTAGCTCCACTTTATATTTTGGGATATATGAATTAATTTTTTTTCTCCGCACATTACTACCATTAGTGTAACACTTTTCCATGTAAGAAAATACAACATTTTAAAACTTATGTGGCAATACAGAAGCAAACCCAGTAAGTTTTCCTCCACAAAGAATTTTAATAAACAATTTTCACTGACACATGAATTCCAAGCCCTCCAGCCCCTCAACTTTAGTTTTTTTTTTGTTTGTTTTTTTTATATACTAAAATAACTCAATGTTAACAGTCTATACAGCTAAAGGGCAAAATTAATCAAAGAAAAATTACAATCTCATTTGAACAGTGTACTGTTTTGAAACAAACCATTCTTATCTAGACAAAAAGAGGAGAATTACATGGTGGGGTTTAGGAACAATAAAACAATGAACGACAGTGGTTTGACAGGGTCTTCCGTCTGGCAATTGGTGAACACATTTCTGCACTGCAACGTTACTGGATGTTAATCTTTGGGAATTTCCCATTTCTGTGATTCCATCCTTAGGAAGGCAAGCAGAAGTGCCTGGTGCACTACTTCTTCTTACAAGGCTGTTACTGTTGCTCGTCTTTGGCTCGAGGCCGGGTGGTCAAACAGAAGGCACTTTTGTTGGCATTAGTGATGCAACTAAAATGGCAGTTATACCTCTAGGCCTAAATAAATATTAATAAGAATGGAAAATTGATCACTCACATCAAATAATCCAACAACAAAGTGATCCTTTATGCCCAACAATTCCTAACTGTGTTTTCCTCAAAGTCACTTTTAAGAATTAGTGTAAGGAGGCTCGCATGAGTGGCTCCACACTTAGCACAGCCTGGTCTATGTAAAAACGACCAGACCCAAGTTTAGTTCCAGGAAGAGCCTGGCAGCTTAATGTCAGTTTTGTGTTGAGAAAAATAAATAAGAAGCCATACTTTTTATAAGCTCATTCCTTATGAAGATGGATATTGGTTTTACGTATAATGTTTCCAAAATGGGCAACAAAAACCAAACGGATGTCAAGCAGCTACTGGTTCCCATTCTTTTCTACATGACATAAAAAAGCTACATATAGACCATAAGGAGTCCCACCCAGACTGGTACAATGCAAAATTAAATACTCAGAAGCTGACATGGGCTGGTTATCACTGTTCAAGTTTAAAAAGGCATAATTACATTATGTTAAAATTTGATGTTGCACCATTCTTACACTTTAAATGCCTTTTAATGATACCACAGAATGTGCCAGATTGAATGTTTCTCCCGCATCAATTTCCCCTCCCGCGCCTGTTGAGGCGCACCGTTAGTTAGCTTAACCAGCTGTGCTAGATAAGAACGAAAGAGAAGATAAAAGATTAATTTGTCAGTTTGAAACAGTTTCCAGTTGCAAAGTAACACAAGCACTCATGTGGAAACTAACAATTATTCTTAGACTTTACAACACAGTTGGCGTCAGCAGCTAACGTCAGGCTAGCTAGCAGAGCAGCTAGCCCGTGTAGTAAACCAGCTAATTTGTTTTTCTTCCAATATTTGATGAAGTATTTTTACTTGAGTTTGTTTCGAAATAATTACTGAGGGTTCCCATGACATTTACATTTCAGTTATTTTACAGATTTTTCACATCATCGCCTATTAGTTCATTTATATGCTCCGTTTTTAACCCTCAGCGATCATGAAACACGGTGAATTGGCAGTGTGATAAAGGGCTATTTCACNTTTTTGTTTTTTTTTTATCTACATTTTAAATATCTTCCAGTTCCTGCACCAGGTGTTCTTTACACAATTAAAGTTGATCTTTGAGAGGACACACTTATTATGCCATTATCAGGTGAATAAGGTCTCAAAACGACGAGATTATCGTTTATCTCAATAATTTCTGGGACAATTTATCATCCAGCAAAGTTTATAATTGTGACATTAGATCAGTAACCCTTAGTGTCGTTATTCCATAACAATCAATGATTGTATTCTATGGAAGTACGTAGAAAAATACCTACTTTTAATTTAAGAATCCTGACTGTGTGTGAGGTTGTATTGTTTTTGTATTTATTAAACATTAATTTGCTCCGCCTCCAGGCTCCCTTTGTGGACGTCATCTGTGTGAACAGCTACTTCTCCTGGTACCACGACCCCGGCCACGTGGAGGTCATCCCTCTCCAGCTCAACACTCAGTTTGAGGACTGGTACGGGAAGTACAAGAAGCCCATCATCCAGAGCGAGTACGGAGCCGATGTCGTGCCAGGGCTTCATAACGTGAGCGTCTACACCCACAGGCCATTAATGGCTTCGTTTCTGGCCTTTTTATTGATGCATTTTAACACTTTTATAGAAGTTTTAGTCTCTTTGCTTTTTTTTTCTGACTGCAACCCTATTAAAAATAATGTGGGATTGTTAAAGGCTTCAATGCTTGAAAACCAACACATTTAAACATATTTGGATCCTGAGGATTAGAAACGTTTTCCAGACTTTTTGTTTCAAAGTTTTTTATTTTAAATTGGGCACTAATTCATTTGATCTGAAAAACAAGTGTAAGCACATAATTAAAAGCCCAACCGTATTATGCCATTCCTACCCATTAAATATGTAATCTTTCGTATTTTTGTTTGAGAGGGTCTGCTAAGGATTTTACCTTTTTTTTCATCACCATAGCAACAAGCCATTTGATATTTGAGTCATATTTCCGCTCAGGACCCCCCGGTGATGTTTACTGAGGAGTATCAGAAAGTGGTCCTGCAGCAGTACCACGGCGTGTTCGACCAGAAGAGGAAGAAGTACGTCATCGGCGAGCTCATCTGGAACTTTGCTGACTTCATGACTACACAAGGTGAACCAGAGCTCTGATTTTTAATTAGAATTTAGCTAAATATAATTTCTTTTAAAACTTTTTCTGCTTGCCTGCCTGCCATGTGTGGCCATTATTTATATTAGGAGCAAAGGGAACATTGTGCAAGAGCACCTTCTGTAAAACAAGGTTTGTTTGTACTTCCTAGTCAATGTACTTTAGTTTGAAGAGTCTCCAACGGGTGCTAACATTTCTAAATCCATCTCGTTCTTAGATGGATGAGTGTTGACAGTTCAGAGTGTTTTTTTTTTTTTTTTTTTTCTGTCCAGCCTCTTCCTTTTATCTGTTTGACTGAAGTGCAGACGCATCTCGTTATGACTTAGACAACCGTTTAAATTTTTGGTTCTTCCTTGGATTTCACCAATACTGAAAGTAGCTAACTTTGAGTCTTCACTCAATGACATCCACACCGAAGAGTGTTGCTGTTAAAATAACATTGTAGTTGCAGGGTCATCTGAAGGGTTTTGTTCAGATGAGTTTAAGGTGCATCTCCAATTTTTTTTAATTTATCGTTTTAAAACTGAAAATTAAATTTCTTCAAATGAGGATCTGGGCTTGTAGCCTTGATACAGAGGCTATAGTTAAAGTTTGTATGCCTGCTTTTTTCTTCATACACGTGAATGCTAAGATTTTTATTAAAGTCTTCTCCAATATTTCTGTTGATCTTTGTGTTTGCAGGGATCACGCGTGTGGTGGGGAACAAGAAGGGGATCTTTACTCGGCAAAGGCAACCCAAAGCTGCCGCATTCATCCTCAAGGAGAGATACTGGAGACTGGCAAATGAAACTGGCACCCTGCCCCTCTGGACCAAGTACCCCTGCCCACTGTGAGTGACCAACGCAAGCGTTTAGCCCCGCAGGACAGCTGGAGCCATACGGAAAATCATGTCTAATCAAAATGACATCAAGGTCCTTCTTCTAGTTAAACCATCCTTTTTTGTGTTTTTCCACCAGTGTCTCTGTGATTGTATAAACTGCTGTATTTCTAAATATCTTTATTGAGTTTTCTTTAAAGAAAACAAAACAAGAACAGGAACAAAGAAATGCCAGATACAACAATAAGAAACGGTTTCAGTTCCCTTTATTAGCTGCTGGAATCTACCACTAAGGAGACTTGCAGGCAGGAATTATGAGGGAGGAAAATAAACGGCAACAGTAATCACAAAAACACAGGAAAGCCTTAAAATCTGCTTTAAATAAGGTTCCTGGATTTGATTAGAACATTTCCAGAGGAGAGTGGAACAGGCAAAGCTGCCTTCATGTTCAAGTCCAAAGACACTGAAGACACTGGACAGATCCTCCAACATGCTCAGCCTGTAGCGTTGTGTTTTCACACACATCCAGAAAAAAATGAATGTATGTGACTTGATGCAATCTTTTTATTACAACTAGGATCAATGGCACTGACTTTGAATCTGAGTGATTTGACTGAATGGATGTTTCTCTTTCCATAAAGTGCCTCGTGGTTATATTCTTTCCAATTTGGTGCTGTATTAAAAAAAACGTAATCGTCAGCTTCACGCTTGCAGTCAGTTTTGTAATATGCAAGCGACGCAGGATTTTTATATAGAGCAGAGTTGGCTCAATTACAGACGGAAGTAGCCGTGGCGTCGGTCCAGATTTACCCCAGTGAGTCATCAGTGCTGATATCATAAGATCTCTCAAATTCAAAGGCTTTCTACATTATTGGGTAAAAGTTGAGACTTTAAACAGAAATAAAGCATTTTCTGTATGTAATTGGGGCTGTGCGATTAATGATTTATTTTCTCTACCCCAGCACAATTGTTGCCAGAGTTGTTGAGCTGTCTGTCAAATATATCAGCTGGAGATAATTTTAGCTTTATAGGTGGGACCATTAAACTGTCTTCAGCATAAAGAAACAATAACTGACTCTCCAATACTGATGCAAAAGACTGACTTTGTAAACTTTGTTTTCTGAAGATTGAATAAACCAGAACAAAAGTTTGACAAAACTCTTTAGAAAATTAAGTTAAATCCATCAGAAGCTGCCGCTCTAAGAGCATTTAGGTGAGCATCTCATCTAATGAGCTTCTGAAAAGTGTGTGTTCACTAATATTACATTTTGTAGGTCATTTTAGCTAATGTAAACTAGAACAAAAACAAGATTATTTTTTTATTATATATAGGATGGAGGGGATCAAGAAATTAATCTGAAATGAAATGAACGATGAAATACCTGCCGTATTTGGTCTAGAGTTCTTCACGGTATTGTCACCTGACTCAAACCGTGTTTGCTTTGCAAATCTAAGAAAATGATGTAAATGTATTTGGAGAAGCACAAGTCACAGTTGCCTAAGCAAATCAAGGCTGAGTGTAGACATGTTGCTCTGAGTCATGCAGACTAAATTCAATGGGTCTGAATTGCTCCTATTAGTTATACTTCCATTTTTTTTAAGGATCAAAGAAAAATGTCTTCAGCTTTGTTGTTCTTCCTGTTCCATTTGTACTAAAACCTTTTTCAAATTGAGATTCAGTTGTGTTGTTTTTGTTAATTTTCTGAATCAACCATAGATCAGTTTCATGATCTGACTGTAGCTTTGCTTATTTTCCATCCATCTGTATTCAGGGAATAAACTATTAGATCATTTTCCATCAATATTTTTCTAATCAGTTTTATTGCTGGACAAATGAATGATTGGTTCCTCTTTGGACACAGTTTCTGTTGGAATATGCCAGTCTAACTTTATACTGACAATAATGTCATGTTACAGTGCAAGGGAAAATCTGATTGTTACGTTTGATTTCACTAAATTGAGAGGAAAGAAGTCATTTTATGTCTGAATCACTGCAATAAAGACGATATAATGGCACTACGTTTATCCCTCAGGTTCTGTCATTCGTTTTCTTCTACAGCTAACGTCTGGCTAAATGTTTGCATGATGCTTAAAGGGTTAACAAGAGTGACGCGACTATTGTTGGTGGCGTGATCACGGTTATTATCAGTGTATCTTCCCTCATCTGATCTCTGACCTTTGTGTTAAAAGTTCCACCAACGCCGGGCAAATATTATTCCTTTCTAACTTTGACAGCAGCCGTTTAAACTCACACATGTTCTTTATGGGTTTTGCTTTAGAAACTATTTCCAAATCATTCAGAGTAACTTTTTATTTTTTCCCCAAAGTCCACAGTAATGTTTCACACAGCTGAAGTTTTGCTACGTTGCATCAAGTAACAGGGGAAACATTTGTTTCTTTCACAAGCCCAATAACACCCTGAAGCAAATGTTTAAATGTTTCCAAAGCTGAATTAAAAATGGAAGAAATGAACATAATCTCAAGTTAGAAGACGGTCATGTCAACAACCTGGTTAAAATAGTATCATCAATCTTAAAGATATATATTTTTTGAAAATGACGATTTTTCCAAAGAAATGTCAAACTCAAGGCTCAACATCTCACAAGGCATGGCCAAGTTAAGCAGGTTTCTCTCCAAGTGTTATTTTTGTTAGTGGTGAAAGATGGATGTAACCTTTCTAAATAAGTGAATAAAAAATTAAGGTAGAATAATGCAGATCAACCAGCAACATGGTAAAAGTTTAAAACATTTTAAATGTTCCATATGTTCCTTCTTTGCCAAGTTTTTTTTTTTTTTGAATGCTAGAAAACATATTTGTTTTTCTTGCCTTCAGAATACAATAGTGTGACGCCTTCTCTACCTTCTACTACAAACTGCTGGTCAGATGGCTGAAATGTGATGTGGATACAACACATTTTACGCTCACGACAGTGGCATCCTCAAGGGGTGGGCCGGGGGTGGTCATGGCCCATTGTTGAAAAATGTTGACCAAAACATAAATGTACAAATCAATAAACTGATTTGTAAAATAAAACGTAAGTTAAAATTATATTTTCTGGGGGGTGCCACTGACACAAGAATTAGAAATTTTAGAGATTTTTCAAAATTTGTGGATTTGAAATGTCTCTTCAAAATGTAAAAAATATTTTCAAATGATCATGGTCAGGGAATTGGGTGGGTTTGCCCCCACCAAATATTAATGGCATATTTGGTAACCAGCTGCCTGTAGGTTGGGTTTCACAGCACATAGCCTGACTAGTTAGGCAGCTAATATTCTGCGCAAGAGGCACATTTACTTAAAGTGCGACATCTTTCTACATCAACTCTATTATTAAATGTTGTAGAATTACAAAAGTATAAAACCATATGTTGCCATTTGTAGGAATAATTGTTGCTCTCTCTGTTTTTAAAAGTTTAGTTTAGTACTGTGAAACTGTTTTGTGCTGAATGATATACTGATGAATTATGTTGCCAATACTGCTGTTTATTTAAATGATTAAAAATGACACTTTCAGAGGGAATGTTTTAATGGTAGATCATTTCAACACAACAGGTTCAAATTAGCTCCACTTTATATTTTGGGATATATGAATTAATTTTTTTTCTCCGCACATTACTACCATTAGTGTAACACTTTTCCATGTAAGAAAATACAACATTTTAAAACTTATGTGGCAATACAGAAGCAAACCCAGTAAGTTTTCCTCCACAAAGAATTTTAATAAACAATTTTCACTGACACATGAATTCCAAGCCCTCCAGCCCCTCAACTTTAGTTTTTTTTTTGTTTGTTTTTTTTATATACTAAAATAACTCAATGTTAACAGTCTATACAGCTAAAGGGCAAAATTAATCAAAGAAAAATTACAATCTCATTTGAACAGTGTACTGTTTTGAAACAAACCATTCTTATCTAGACAAAAAGAGGAGAATTACATGGTGGGGTTTAGGAACAATAAAACAATGAACGACAGTGGTTTGACAGGGTCTTCCGTCTGGCAATTGGTGAACACATTTCTGCACTGCAACGTTACTGGATGTTAATCTTTGGGAATTTCCCATTTCTGTGATTCCATCCTTAGGAAGGCAAGCAGAAGTGCCTGGTGCACTACTTCTTCTTACAAGGCTGTTACTGTTGCTCGTCTTTGGCTCGAGGCCGGGTGGTCAAACAGAAGGCACTTTTGTTGGCATTAGTGATGCAACTAAAATGGCAGTTATACCTCTAGGCCTAAATAAATATTAATAAGAATGGAAAATTGATCACTCACATCAAATAATCCAACAACAAAGTGATCCTTTATGCCCAACAATTCCTAACTGTGTTTTCCTCAAAGTCACTTTTAAGAATTAGTGTAAGGAGGCTCGCATGAGTGGCTCCACACTTAGCACAGCCTGGTCTATGTAAAAACGACCAGACCCAAGTTTAGTTCCAGGAAGAGCCTGGCAGCTTAATGTCAGTTTTGTGTTGAGAAAAATAAATAAGAAGCCATACTTTTTATAAGCTCATTCCTTATGAAGATGGATATTGGTTTTACGTATAATGTTTCCAAAATGGGCAACAAAAACCAAACGGATGTCAAGCAGCTACTGGTTCCCATTCTTTTCTACATGACATAAAAAAGCTACATATAGACCATAAGGAGTCCCACCCAGACTGGTACAATGCAAAATTAAATACTCAGAAGCTGACATGGGCTGGTTATCACTGTTCAAGTTTAAAAAGGCATAATTACATTATGTTAAAATTTGATGTTGCACCATTCTTACACTTTAAATGCCTTTTAATGATACCACAGAATGTGCCAGATTGAATGTTTCTCCCGCATCAATTTCCCCTCCCGCGCCTGTTGAGGCGCACCGTTAGTTAGCTTAACCAGCTGTGCTAGATAAGAACGAAAGAGAAGATAAAAGATTAATTTGTCAGTTTGAAACAGTTTCCAGTTGCAAAGTAACACAAGCACTCATGTGGAAACTAACAATTATTCTTAGACTTTACAACACAGTTGGCGTCAGCAGCTAACGTCAGGCTAGCTAGCAGAGCAGCTAGCCCGTGTAGTAAACCAGCTAATTTGTTTTTCTTCCAATATTTGATGAAGTATTTTTACTTGAGTTTGTTTCGAAATAATTACTGAGGGTTCCCATGACATTTACATTTCAGTTATTTTACAGATTTTTCACATCATCGCCTATTAGTTCATTTATATGCTCCGTTTTTAACCCTCAGCGATCATGAAACACGGTGAATTGGCAGTGTGATAAAGGGCTATTTCACATTTTGTATGGCATCTAGACAGTTTAAAATGCATAATACTGAAAAGTCTGGACTGAATGATCCTGAATTTAAATCTTTTAAAATCAGTTTCTGTAAATAGTAAAACCATAATTTCAGAAAAATATTGGAAAAAAAGTGAAGCATTTTCAATTCTAAGATCAACTTTAATCACAAATGTTGGTCTGGTTTTTTTTAAAAAAAAAGCTGGCAGAGGCCCAAAAAAATTTGGTGAAATTGCTCTTTATATTTGAATGAGTTTCATCTGGCAATAAAAAGAGGGAAAAAAAAATCCTCAAAATGTCACAAACCCGATGTCACATAAAAGTAAATCCATGTAATTTTATTTTTCCAGAATTTGTAATAACTTTAAAAATGGAATGAGCAATAAAATCCAGAAATTCCCAACATTAAATACTTAAATATTCATCCTTACTTAGAGAAAGGATAAAAATCCTTCCATACTTGTCAAAACAGCACAAGACAACTGATTAAATTATATTAAAACTAATAATCATTGCTTTTCTGTTTAAAATTGTTACATATTGTTTGTGAAAAATCTTGGTATAAGTACTGATATTGTGGCCTTTTTACATCAGCTTATACCATGAGAAATCCAGAGCAGCTCATGCCTTTTTCATAAGTACTGACAGGATTATGGTCTGCAGATAAAAGAATGTGTGCCTGGAATGTAAAGGGGGGAAATAATTGGGGCTAAAACATTGCGTTTGCCTTGGAAAATGGTCAACAATAAACCGAAACAAGCAGGGGCACAGGTCACAACATGCCAGGATAGATTCATTACTTCAATGATTTCACAATTCGTCTCTAGAAGCATGTCACTGAAAGCACAGCTCAACATTAATCAGCACTTCAACACTCCCTTCATTTACAACAGGAAGGATGCAAATCGTACTAAGGGAACCATAGGCGAGATGGTTTATTACCACAGATGAATCACACCATTACATTTATTACAGTGACTGTTACAGATCTTTGAAAGTGTAAGACTGTTGTGGCCATGTGAAGAGGGAAAAAAAAAGACCTCTGGATGGAAGAAAAATGAATCTCTAGAAGCTACATCTGCTTTCTCCATAGAGCAGTCTAGTTCTGCTTTCACCAGACTATGTTAGATCTAAAGCTTGGTGCGATTTAAAACAGTGAGGGACTTGGTTGTCTTATCAGGACAAAAAAAAAAAACAATCCACATATGGCTTAAACGCAACATTTAGTTCTTTAGTAAATCTAACTCCTTGGTTCACATGTGCAGTTCACAACAGTGCACTAGTTTTTTTTTCCTGTGACCATTCAACCAACACCCCACCAACCGTATGCAAAAGCCAGGCGATTTTTAGTGCAATCGCGAGGCTGAAGTCGCCTCTGCCAGTGGGCCATTCCGCCCCATGTGCAGACGGTCACAGTGTAGCAGCCTATTGCTACTTTGTGAGATGACAAGAGGGACAAAACACTTCAGCGGTATCTTCCAGGCATGGACCGGTTACCGGGATCAAGGTACTTTAAAAAAAATAAAAATAAAGTATTGGTGTAGTGTTCCTGATTCAGGTTCTTTTAATGAGATGGCAAAGAAAGAGATTGTGTCAAAAAAGGAAAAAAAATGCAACGCTTCCCCTCCCACACATGCTGAACAAAGCCAGTCAGCTACCTTAACCCTAACATGGTCTTAAGAGACTGGGTCCAATTATTTATCCCACGGAGAGTGTCTTTACCAGTTTGTGTGGTTTCGGGAATTG